GTTTAGGATTTGGGGTTCCAGGTTTCGAAGCCCTTCGAGTTTGGGGTAGAGGGTTTGTGTCTGAGGGTTCATCATCCTTTGTTCCTAACATGAAATACGCCTCAAAAGATCCTTTATACCAGGCGGGTGAAGAGTGTTCAGTTTTTGGTAGGAAGCTGCTAACCAAATTCCACCCATCTACACGGAAAACCTAACTACAAGAACCGAGAGAGAAGACTCAACCTTCAGAACTTGCAGAATGAGCAGCAATATATATACTATGCCAGAGCATTTCCATATCACCACGTGAGAAACCTCGAAACTAATTTCATGGACAACATCCGAGAGGAGGGCTTAGGGTTGCAAATTCCCTATCTAAACTTCCGCTGGCAGGAGCTCTTGTGAAGGAGAAACTGCTTCCCACCCTAAACCCTAAACCCGACAGTTCAAAGCGACTGACTGGAACCCCAGGCCCTCAACCCTAAACTTAAGCAAAACAAGCCACTTTCTGCGAGAGGGAATCCTTGACCCTACGGTTTAAGGCACGTGAACCTTGTCAGAGAAAGCGCAATACATAGTAATCCCTCAATCCTAATCCTAAACCCGAAATCCTTGACCCAAAAATGCCTCTTCTACAGTTCTAGAAGAAACTCCTTCCCAGAGAATCATGCAGTTCGGGGTCGGTCCCATGACAGACCCCCGGGGATGTGCCTGATCCTCTGTTTAAGAAACCCTGCATCCTTACCCCTAAACAAACCCTCCAATGCTAACTGCACATCCCTAAACCCTAAACCCTATATCCCTAACCTCCAAAACTGACCTCTTCGTTTGGGAAACTGCTTCGCACCCCAGAGCTCGAGTAGAAGTCCGGCCGAGCCCTGGGTGGCCGGTTAGCGTTTGCCGCGCGCCGGTGCACGCGAAAGGCCGCCTGGTTCCTTGGGTGAAGCTAAGAGGTTGGGGTTTAGGGTTTAGGGTTTAGGTTACAGCTCAGGAATTATGATTTAGGGATTAGGGCTAAGGCTTTACATGCAAGGTTTGGGGGGCTAAGGATAAATAATGTTGACTGTAGGACTTTAGGCTGGAAGCTTATCTCTGTTGACTGAAGGCCCAATATTCTGGACAAGGGATTGGGCACATGCGAGATGAGTCTTCTACCAAGCACAAGTGTTCTCCATGATAATCCCCTCCCCCTAATGTTCAACCCACCACCCACCCCTAACATGAATACTGTAACCTGGTTATGCCGTGGAGGAATCTTGCACAACCCTATGCAGGTCCTCGACCAGCAGAAACATTCATGAGAGGGCAGGCAGGAAATCATGACAATTTAGTTTAGGGTTTGGCGACAGGTTCCTCATGTTATCAATGGCATCCTGTGAATTCCCTTTGTCAAGAAATCCGACTGAACAGCATGACACATTCCGATCGGAAACCGCCAAAATGAATCTAGGGCAACCCCCATTATCTTGAGCCCATTTTTTGCAGCCACTAACCAGCCCCACTAGCAGCAATCTTAATCTCAGGACTCCAATTGCTTCATCTTCTTAGCCTATGGCCCAACCGCCACAACAGCACTCCTAATAGTCCGAACTCCTCAACCAGGCCAAGTCAAAGCTGCAATACTGTTGATGAATGAAATCTTGCACCACCTAGGGGCCCTAAACTACTGTAATTCCTAGGACTTTAGGGACTTAAGGTGGTGCAAGATGACCTCCATCAACAGTAGGAACCCACAAAGTCCGGAACATCGCAACTGGGCAGATGAGTAGCGTTTTTTTGGTGGTTAAATCCAGTAAGATTATATTCCTTATACACAATACTATAACCAAAAGGAGGATATAATCTTACTCTATATTGGGTACCATCCAAATACAATACTACTCAAATAACCCCTATATAATCCCAGCTTCCATTTCATTTTCCATTTTCTTTTCCATTT